CTTTTGTTTGAGGTTCTGCTTTGTGGATATATGTTCTTGAACATATTTCTGTTTTAAAATCTCTCCTCTCCTGTTGTAAACTGAGTTCATCTTGACAGTGAGTGCACTGGGCTGGAGGTTGGAGGACTACTTAGGTATCAGTGGCCAAGGAAGGGCTGTTGTTGGTTTATCAGTAGCACCCCCTTGTGGCGATTCTGTGCATTTCCTAATTATAAGTAGCGGAAACGTTTATAGGACAGGATTGATTTATAAACAATATTTTATTCTATTTTTCAGATTGTTAATTTAATTACTTTTCTCTCTTGCTCTAATACTTAGTCCAGTCTAAGATCCATTCTTTCCACTTTAAATTTATGGATGAAGCCTGTGGCTTGGAGCAGACTGAGGTTCCTATGAGGACTGAAGGCATTTTAATAACACTGAACACCACGTCACTGCCAAGACTGTGCCAAGTCTTCGCACTTGCTTGATTTTAAACACTTGAATATTTAATTCTAAAATACACTGTTCTCAAGACAAAAGTATTTTAATTGCTGTTTTTGTTACTTATTGGTATAGTGTTTATGTTTATTCATATTCAGAAAATAAATTCTGAAGGCTTTTTTGTTGACCACTAAAAATGTATACTCTGTGCAATACCTTATAAGCTCATACTCAAATGCTGGATGAAATTATTTGGAAATTAAGTTGCTTGAGTGCAAATTTCATACGGGAGAGCTATGGATACCTTAGAGCAAATTAGAGCTACATAGGCTTTAAATTTCTTTTAAAACCTCCATATTTCAATCAGAGAACTAAAATTGAGAATTAATGCTTTTCATGTGGGCTGAATATCTGGTTTTGAGCTTTGCTATGGCTCTAGATATTTTGGTATGCCAATTAAACTAATGTTAAAGTGCTTCTTGACAAGTTCTTACTTTTTGGCCGTTATAGTGCCCTATTTCTATAGCCACTTTTCCACATGCCCCTCAAGGTTTTGCCTTGTTCGAATACTTTAGATTAGAAGGTCATTCAGAGATCATTTAAAATACAATTTTGCCCAGACTGTATTACATATTACTTTTGGAGGACACTAAATTAATGCTTAGTTGTAGAAATAATCAGGTCAATTGGTTTAGAGGCTCGAGGCCTTATTCTTTATGAACCCAATACTGCGGGTGCCAGGGTTGGAGGAGTAGGACAGTGACTCACAGGCAGCTTCTGGAAGGAAAGAAGGAAGTCATGTGGGGCTCAGAAGAGTAATTCGCATTATACTCAATCTATTGTATTCAACTATTCTCCATGCAGAGCACATGAATCCTCTGCCACGGATTGGTATATCTTCACAATTTTTATGAACACTCCTTCCCTTATTTTCTCTCAGGACTGATTTTGTTGACTTTTTAGAAATTTAATTTCATATATTGGGGAAATCCATAGCATGATTTGTGCTAGTCGGCTTTGATTGTTTTCAAAACTTAAATCCTATATTTAAAAGAACTTTCTAATCAGTGTATTTGAAAAGTATACAAACACAGAAAGAAATATGTGTATATACACACATATATATGAGCACACACACACGCACACACACACACACACACATATATATTTATATTAAATCCTGGGGCCTGATAAAATAAATTTAGGTGTTTTTAATTAGAAGAGAAAGATATCTGAGGCAGGAAGATAGGGTCTGGAAGCAGGGAACATAAGGCTGACTCATACTTCAGCAATGACAGGAAATACCCTCCCATTTACATAGGGTGTATGCTGAGTAAATGACTTTGTAACTTTACTTCATCCTCTTCGTTTACATAGAGTGAACACCAAGTAACCGATGGAAACCTCTAGAAGGTATTTAAACCTCCCAAAATTCGGTAATGGGGCCTTTGAGCCTCTGTGCTCGGGCCCACTCCCACACTGTGGCGTGTAATTTCATGTTCAGTAACTTGCTGCTTTTGTTGCTTCATTCTTTCCTTGCTTTGTTTGTGCATTTTGTCCAATTCTTTGTTCAAGGTGCCAAGAACCTGGACATCCTCCACCAATAACAGTATCAGGGGTTATTGTGCTTAATATACATTTGTGAATGGTTGAAGGCTACTGCCCACCTCTGTGATCACTCTGGAGAAGAGAGTCTTGAAGATAATTGCAATTTGGATTCCCTTCACTCCAAAGTACTGTCTTGTCTTGAATTTGGGACTTTAAAGAGGCAACAGAGAGAACCCACGGAGAATGACCGAACTCTGTAATCGCATAAAGATCCTAACAGCACTCTGCTCTGTCCCTTTCTCTCTTTTTGAGCCGCTCTGGCATCAAAATGTCTGGATAGGGGCCGGGCGCAGTGGCTCAAACCTGTAATCCCAGCACTTTGGGAGGCCGAGGTGGGTGGATCACGAGGTCAAGAGATCGAGACCATCCGGGTCAACACGGTGAAACCCCGTCTCTACTAAAAATACAAAAAATTAGCTGGGCATGGTGGCACGTGCCTGTAATCCCAGCTACTCAGGAAGCTGAGGCAGGAGAATTGCCTGAACCCAGGAGGCGGAGGTTGCGGTGAGCCGAGATTGCGCCATTGCTCCAGCCTGGGTAACGTGAGTAAAACCCCCCCCAAAAAAAAAAAAAAAAAAAAAGTCTGGATATTAATTCAGCCTGCTGTTTACTACCTGGATCAGTTATGTTGCCACGTAACAAATTACCCCAAAACCTAACAGCCAAAAACAACATACATTTATTATCACACTATTTCTGTGGCCCAGGAATCCAGGAGTAGTTTACTTGGGTCATTTGCCAGCTCGTGGTGCCTCACAAGGCTGCAATCAAAGGGTCAGCTTGGGCTCTGGCTCCCTCTGAAGGCTCAGCTGAGGGAGAACTCACTAATAAGCCCATGCATGTGGCTGTTGGCTGGCCTGAGGTCAGGTTGGCCAGAGACTTCAGTTTTTTGCCACATGGGGTGCTCCACTGAGCAGCTCACAACCTGGTAGCTGGGTTCTCCCAGGGTGCACGAGAAAGAGAGTGAGAGTGAACAGGGATGGTTAGAAAGGTAGAAGTTGAGCCTTTTTGTAACCTAATCTTTAAAATGATATCCCATTACTTTCACCACGTTTCATTTGTTATATGTGTGGCACTAGGTCCAACTCACAAGCTCACATTCAACAGAAGGCGGGATGCTGGGATTCCTGAGGACACCTCAGAGGCTGCCGACCACACTGCCAGGGGCATTGTCTTATCACTAATGTCTCTGCTATTGGATTCTCTTGTGTCACGTGACTGAAATAATGATTCCTACTTTAGTGAGCCTTGAATAAGCTAATAAGACACTTAGAGCTGTACCTGGCCTATCGTTAGAGGCCAATTAAATTGAGGCATTAACAACATCCCTATATTATTATTTTTTTTTCTTTTTCCTTTTCGAGATGGAGTCTTGCTGTATCTCCTAGGCTGGAGTGCACTGGCGTGATCTTTGCTCACTGCAACCTCCACCTCCCAGGTTCAAGCCTCAGCCTCCCAAGTAGCTGGGGTTACAGGTGTGCACCACCGTGCTCAGCTAATTTTTTTTGTATTTTTAGTAGAGACAGGGTTTCCCCATGTTGGCCAGCCTGGCCTTGAACTCCTGACCTCAGGCGATCCACCCGCCTCAGACACCCAAAGTGCTGGGATTACAGGTGTGAGCCACCGTGCCCAGCTACATCCCTATTTTATAAAGGAAGACATAAGATTACGCTGAATTTACGGTACTTATCTAGAGTCCTACAACTCAGAAGGAAGGGGGCTGCTGGGATGTGAACCCAGGGCTGCCTGATTCCAAAGCCCATTCTCTTAACCACTCTTCTGTTCTAATCACAATGGAGGCTTGGATGTGATTCCATCCCCAGATGTAACAGGTAGTCACAATTGCATTCCTACTTGAATATTGTTCTCATCTATGACTTCCATGTGGATGAGGCCACCAGCCAACTTCCTTTCTTTGACAAAGTTGAGAGGCTGGACGCAGTGGCTCATGCCTGTAATCCCAGCATTTTCGGAGGCTGAGACGGGTGGATCACCTGAGGTCACGAGTTCAAGACTGGCCTGGCCAACATTCCAAAACTCAAAAATACAAAAATTAGCTGGGCGTGGTGACGCCTGCCTATAATCCCAGCTACTCAGGAGGCAGAGGCAGGGCGAATTGCTTGAACCCAGGAGGCGGAGGTTGCAGTGAGCCGAGATCGCGCCACTGCACTCTAGCCTGGGCAACAGAGCGAGACTCCATCTCAAAGAAAAAAAAATATTTTTGATTTGATTGGTCGGTGTCAATCAGTGCAGCTCACTACCTCCTGCCTTGGGAAACATTTCAGTTTTCCTAGTACTGTATTTTTCTTCATCTCTCTGGCCTCTAAATGTTGAAGTACTTTCAGCTCAACTTGGGCTTCCCTTTTTAAAAGTCTGTGCTGCTTCTTGCTGCTGTGATGCAATCTCATGGCTTTGAATATAATCTTTATGGAAATAGCTCCGAAGTTTATATTTCAAGTCCTGATCTCTCTCTCGATTTTCATACTTTTCTTACCCAGCTGCCTACTTGGATCTCTGCTTGGGAGATCTCCACTCGTCTAACGTGTCTAAATCGTGTCATGTTCAAAACATGTTCGAAACGAATTCCTCATCTTCCTTCTGAAAGCTTTCAGTTTATTTCTTTCATGTTTTTAATTTTCTTCTTCATTGCTTTTAGCACCTTCTCACATATTAAATATTTTACATTTAAGCAAATTTTAAACTTATTTTAATATATTTCACTTACATTTACTATTGCTTGCCTCTGCCCTCTGTATTTCTTCCCCCTGTTCTGAGTAAGATTATGTCTTATTTAAGTACCTGGATATGGCTGACCATATAGCAATAGTCAATAAATATTTGTTAAATAATAAATACAGACACGAAAACATAATGAGTTACGTTATATAAGTTACGTTATATGAGTTATATAACATCAGTGAAGTATGCTTTGGAGAAAGAAATCATAACCCTGTTTTTGTTTTTGGTAGGTAATTGGAAGCTGGAACTCCATGTCACCTCTCTCAGCCCGTTTTAAAACAATAGCTCTAAACAATAGACCCGAATATGCCACTGAAGAAATGACACTAGGAGGAGTAACTGTAAGAATTGGGGGCCTCTCAGTGGGTGGCCGAAAACCAGCGACAGGTGGGAAGGTGAGTCCTGCTTCCCATGCCCCAGGCTGGCTCCAGTAACTTCCATAAATAGAGGACGTGGGAAGGGGAGGTGGTGGGAAATTGGGAGCAGAGCAAGAGATGATAGGAAAGTGAGAAAAAGATTGGTTTTTATTGATTCAAAAACTAGAATTATTGAATAAATGTTCAGAGCAACGTGAGAATCAGGCTGCTTGGTGGTGCTAATTTAAAAATAGGTATAAATTACCCCATTCAACAAAAATGCTTTACATGTAGAAAAAAAGTCCAGCAAATTGAACAGAGATTTTTTTCATTCTTCTTGTGAAAGGTCAGGGCAGTTCTAATTCCAATGTCCAATTACCAGACACAATCAGCACAGCAAAGTAGAACCAACTCAATTTCAATCTCGGGCATTTGTCTCACCTTTAGCTGCCGTTGGTATGACTCACTGCAATTTTCTCATCAAAAAGCTAATTTTAGGAGCAAAATGTCAAGAAAAGATGAAAAAGAAGAGCCAGGTTTTACAGAGCCTGGGATTTTTTTTTTTTTTTTTTTAAATCAGGGCTGCACTCATAAGCTACGTGTCAAATCAGTCACCCACAGAAGCCTCTATGATGTTATGGCCGGGATCCAAGGGAATAGAAAGTAAGGCAGAAAGACAAGCATCGTTGTCCCATTCCCTAATCTCACATGTAGGAGGACGTTCTGTTCCAGATGGTCCTAAATTTTAACCTGACTTGATGATGTTTGAACAAATTCCAGTTGCCTGAACAGACTTGACAAAATGAACACCAAGTATGGTGGCCCCTGAGGCAGCGGCATCTGTCTCTTTAAAAAAACAAAACAGAACCAAATGAAAACAAACAAACAACAACAATGCCATTATTCTAAGTGAAGTAACTCAGGAATGGAAAGCCCAGTATGTTCTGACTTATAAGTGGGAGCTAAGCTCTAAGGATGCAAAGGCGTAAGAATGATATAATAGACTCTGGGGACTCGCCGGGAAAGGATGAGATGGGGTGAGGGGTAAGATGACATTTTGGATACAGTGTACGCTGCTTGGGTGAGGGTGCACCAAAATCTCAGAAATCACCACTAAAAAACTTATTCACAACCAAAAACCACCTGTACTCCCCTAAACTATTGAAATTAAACTAAAAATTAGGCCAAGCGCAGTGGCTCATACCTCTAATCCTAGCACTTTGGGAGGCCGAGGTGGGCAGGCCACTTGAGTCCAGGAGTTTGAGACCAGCCTGGCCAACATGGTGAAACCCCATGTCTACTAAAAATACAGAAATTAGCCAGGCATGGTGGTGCATGCCTGTCTTCCCAGCTACTCAGGAGGCTGAGGCAGGAGAATTGCTTGAATCCAGGGGTCTGAGGCTGCAGTGAGACGAGATTGTGCCACTGCACTCCAGTCTGGGTGACAGACTGACACTCTGTCTCAAAAAAAAAAAAAAAAAGGAAATTAAAATAAAAATTAAAAACCAAAATTCTTTGTAGGGGAAACGTATGAAAGGAGGGAAAAATAGATTTTTAGGCTATTTCCACATTTTTCTTTTTTTTTTTTTTTTTTGTAGAGATAGGGTCTCACTTTGTCACCCAGGCTGGAGTGGAATGCAGTGGCACCATCAGAGCTTGACCTCCCAGGCTGAAGCAATCTTCTCACCTCAGCCTTCTGAGTAGCTAGGACCGCAGCTGTGTGCCACCATGCACAGCTAATTAGAATTATTTTTTTATTTTTTTATGTAGAGATGGGGTCTCACTGTGTTGCCCAGGCTGATCTCAAACTCCTGGACTGAAGTGATCTTCCTGCCCTGGACTCCCAAAGTGCTGGGATTACAGTCGTGAGCCACTGCACCCAAGCATTTTTCTACCTTTTACTACAAGAAGAGGAGTGCCTGTTCGGTTCCCTGAGTGATTGTAATGAAACCATCAGCAAGCTCTGTGCCCAGTCAGTGTTGCCAGGTCTCCAGTGCGGGGCGGCCTCCCCAAGGCTCTTTGACTGTGCTTTGGCATCAGCAGCACTCTTTCCTGTGACATATTCTCTGGGTCCACTCCAACTCCCTTCTGCTGTAATTCTGGAAAAGCTTATTTTGTGGAATCCATATGAAAATTACAGAACAACTATCCAATCACATTTCATGGTCTTGAAAAGCCAGGCTTCTAATCCAGGAGCCCCAGGGCGTGTCCTTGGAGTGCCTGTTCACAGCAGGTGTCTTTCAGGTCCTTCACTACATTTGCTCTCTGGCCCGAGTCTATGTTATATCTGCTCTTGGCTGTGAGCAAAGGTAGGAGCTGCCCTTGACAGTTAACGTGCTTTTGTCACATTATTTCATGAAATGACTTTTATTTACCACTCATCTATGCTGTGTATATGCCAGAGAATGGCAATTTTTAAAACATCCAAACATTTAATTTTAAAAGCATTTGATATGTATAAAATTCATGTGATCTCTTTGGCAAAGTCTTTCCCTTTGCAAAGGTTATCCCAAACCCAGGATGTGGTCAGCAGAGCGCTTATTGATTCCTTTTCCTGGAAAATGCTCTTCTTCTCTAAGGAAGCCGTGTGCATGTGCCTGTGTGGGTGGCTGTGTTGATTTTGGGGTTGGGTGATGTGTGGGGAGGAGGGTGCCTGTGCACTTTGACTTTCTGAGTTTCTCCAGAGTGTCTGAGACAATAACAAAACAAGGAGATTCACCATAGCTTTGTGTCCTTCAAAATGATCCATGTAACAGTATCCATTTATAGTCTATGAATGTATTGTTCCTTTGAGGAAAAGGGAAGCAGCCAGTGCCATGGCTTATTATTTTAGAGAATATTTTACTGCTATGCAAAAAAGCTAAAAGGAAAAGAAATTAATCTTTTGTGAAGAGATGAAGCTTATACCTTAAATACGAAAACCCAACTTTGCCAGCTTTATATTCTTATTGCTCAGACATTTTCTCGTAGGGTTGAAGATGTTTCACTTTTGTTGGAAACAGATGCTCGGTGCTACAAAGAAAAATCAGCACTGAGACAAAGGATTTCTCAGCAAGCAAGTTTTACTTCCTGGACTGCTGGAAGGGTACTCTCACTAGCCTTCTTGCCACAAGAGTACAAGGAACAAAGCAAAAGCAGACATATTTATCCCTTACGCATTTGGGTTGTCCTTACTGCTGTGTCTGATCTCCATTGGCTGGAGCCAGACTTCACAATTTAAACTAAAATCCGATTGGCTAACAACTTAAAACTTTTCTAAACAGGTAAGGGGCATAGGCTGCAAGCTAGGACATGCCTGTGAGCACATCCAGCACAGATACCTTGGTTAAAGTACAAGGACATGGAATATACTACGTGCCTGTAAGTATGGCATGTTCAACAACTACATAGGATAGGGCTTAATAAAGAGTTATTAGCACGCTTCATGATTTATTCTTTAACAAGAAAGGAAACGTTAAAAAAGAACTTTTCTACTTCCCTCAACTTTGAAATGGAAACTTGTATAATCCCCCCTCCTAAAAATTGTTTCCTTGAACCCTACATCGTGATGCATTATTTACGGCATGGGTAAGAAATTAATGTCATCATGCTGCTTCAAGGAGTTCAACATGTTTTAGGATACAATGTCAAGGACAGAGATACTTTTGGTGGGAGAAAAATCTGAAAGCATACTAAGCTATTTTGCCAATTATTTCTCCAAACTCATTTGTTTTCCATGAAATCAAGGCTATTTTGAGTTAGAAATAAAATAAAACAACATAGGAGTAATATACCAAATGGATTAAAAACCAAACAAAAAGTGAGAAAGCATTTGGCACCAATTTAATAGTCCAAATGTGGGTTGCCTCAATATGCAAAAACTCATATAAATTGACTAAAACTTTGCCTTAGTCTTATTGCTCTTTCTACAATGATAAGTTGCGTAACTGCATCAAATTGTGGATTCTCTCACCCCCAAGTACTAGATGTTTTTGCAGATGAGCAAACTAAGACCTGGACGCCTTTTCTCACCATCACCAGATTAGTTAGTGCCATCTAGGGGGACCTTAGACATGTGGCTGCATAGTGTCATTGTCATCGGAGAGTGGCAACTCTCCCTGTACCCTAAAGGTCCTCTCCTGCTCATGACTGAAATGCTACAGTCCTCATTGCTCATGCCAAGCGGGACCCTTGCCTGGCCTCTTCTTTTCCCTATTGGGATGCCCACCAGCATTTTAAGAGAATTTGTGTGAATCAGTGGGTGAGGCCAAGAAGGCTAAAAAATATTAGAGGGCTAGTGGTGGGTAGTGGCTAGATGTAAAAAGAAGGAGAACAGTTTTTAAAAACTAAGACTGTAAAAATGAATTGCTGCCATTCATAACTTTGATCATAGATGGGCCTTGCACTATTGATTTAAATGACAAGTCATGTTTAAAGTGTCAAAATCGCTCATGAAGGAAAGAGCAAGATGTAATTATGCTTTTGGTCCTAGAAAAGTTTAAAAATAAAACTATTTAAGGCAGATTGATTTCAATTGCTTTTCAATCCACTCTTAATTTAAAACGAAGAGTCCTTCCAATGGTGGTATGAGAAATCCACTAAATAAATTGTAGGATTAGAGTAGCTTTCTTTTGGTGTATTATTCCTAGTTAACAAATTAGGAGATCTTGGCCATATTAACACTCAAACATTATTCTAAAGAGAATGTTCAGATAGTTCTTAGACAGTACTAGGCACTTACAAATAAATAAAGAATTCTCAGCTTGTTGCCTTGGAAAATTTTATTTTAATGAACAGACACAGTTCAGAATGTCTATTATTAGCATACGAACACTCCTAGGTTCTTCTCTTTTGAAATATGCCTTCATTTACAAAAGCTTAATGTTTTAATATGAAAATCCTACATTAAATCTTCATCAGCATTAATAAATCACTAGATCCATTAATGCCAGGCGAGGCACTGAAGAAATGCAGCATGTAAGAATTACAATATTTTTCTTCTTTTTGTTTGCTTTTGAAAAATTCCAATGAAAAGTATATTCGAAATAAAATGTTATACATCTATATGACGCTTTTTAGTAACCCAAATGTTTGCATTATATTACAGCACTTAATCCTTATAACATGACCATATGTCTTGGAAGGAAAGAGGTTATATTGCTTTACAGTTGAGGATTTGGTCAAGGGTACATGAGTAGAAAGTGGAAATTCAAGGCCTTTTTTTTTTAGACAGAGTCTCACACCATTGCCCAGACTGGAGTGAAATGGTGCATCTCGGCTCACTGCCACTTCTGCGTCTGGGGTTCAAGAGATTCCCCTGCCTCAGCCTCCTGAGTAGCTGGGATGATAGGTGCGCACCACCACGCCCAGCTAATTTTTTGTATTTTTAGTAGAGACAGGGTTTCACCATGTTGGCCAGGCTGGCCTCAAACTCTTGACCTCGTGATTCACTCCCCTTGGCCTCCCAAAGTGCTGGGATTATAGGCATGAGCCACCACACCTGGCCTGCATGAAGGTTTTATAGAGGCTGGTTCTGTATTCTTCCCATAACATGGTGATGCTTTCACACTTTTATGCATAAACTCTCTTTGTTTGCAAAGTATTCATGCTGTTGGAGTGCTTATATATGCATATATTGGGGATATATGTTGTTGCTTCCCCTTGGATCACAGACCGAGTGAGTA